ACTGATTTTTCTTTTGAGCCCTCTTTATCACTATTCACTATAATACTAACATTAACATTAGGTTTGTTGAATAACGTTTCTAATTTTGGCGTTAGTGACAGCACATCGCTTTCTTTTTTTCGTTTTTCTTTAGCAATTCTTCTGTATTCAGCTCCACTAAGTTTTTTTCTGCCATCCATATTTATTTTCTAACATGAAAACGACTAAACTAACCTACTATACAATACGATATTTTTCGCGGCGTGATTTTAAATCAAATAAGGGAAAGATTACAAATAAGAAATAAGATAAAGATTCTGCTCATAATATTTGCGTTTATATTTTAATCTTTACATAGAAAAAAAACAAACCAAAAAAATTTAAAAAAAATTAAAAATGAGTAATATAAAAAAATCAAATTTACTTTGATCCATCATCCATATTATAACAAATGCGAATAAATTTTTCAAATTTTTAAAAAATGTCTAAAATTTGCCGCCCCTAAAATTTGCCGCCCGGGGCGCTTGCCCCCTTTGCCCCCCTAGTTCCGGGCCTGTAGTTACGTATTAATAATAATTACTCAACCTCATTTATTTTATTTATTCGTTCGTTCATTCATTCATTCATTCATTTATTCATTCATCTCCATTCATTCATTCATTCATGCATTCATTCATTTTCTTATTCATTTATTTATTCATTTCATCATTCAGTAGTTTTATTATTTATTTATTTATGTACTCATACCACTTATATATATATATATATATATATATATATATGTAAGTAATGTTAATCTGATGTAATTAATGATCACATAATTAACTTAGGAGGAACTTAACCGTCTAATTAATGTTTATTTAATAGTCATCATCTATAGTATATGTATGAATTATATCTCTAGTGCGTACTACATTTTGCATATATATATACATATTTATATATATATATATATGTATATATATATATATATATATATTTGTGTTTGTAAGCGCCCTTTAAAAGATCTCAGAGGCGAACGTGTGTGCGTATGGTTGGGTGTTGGTGTTACTTTATTACTATGGGTAGGATCATGCTATTGCAAAAAATTTGTACATTCTATTATTTCCTACCAACGGTCCTCTTATAAGATAACAACTCTTCATTCATTTTATATTCACTCTCATATGGAAAGAAGTAGAAGGAGATAATAATGACTCTCGTGATCAGATCATCCTTCGCAAAGTTGCTACTGTGCAAATGTGGTGTGGCGGATTTGAAGCTAAGTAAGTTAAACTTGATAGGGTGAGGCAGTATTAATTGTGAATAACACAAAAGCTAGGAAGTAAAACTTAAACGGAATTGATGGGCAGATTTCTTTCTATGTATGAGCTTTTACCGCCTGGTAAAGCATGTAATAATTTTTGAATCTTGTAGAACAAGCTTTCGAACCAGGTCACCGCGTAATGAAAATATTGTGAGACATCTACCATCTGAGCTAACATTCGTGGATGCTTTGCAATTCAAGGCAAAAAATAAACCTTCTACATGAAACTAGTTTAAAAATAGAACATCTCTAATGAGGCAATGCATCGCCTAACTTTCTGTTACGATATGAACTCAAACCTCTTGAATTCAAGAGCATTTTTTCTCATATTTTTAATCTAAGTGGTTGTTAATATATGGGAAAATGTTTCAAATTCGTTTGCTTCCACTCAAGCAGAGGTTATAAAATACAAATGATCACCCTAAAAGTCAATACATTCATAACGCGGCACGGTTCATGCTTCCTTTCATTATTCTTCGTTTCAAACTCATGTATGACACTTGTCGTAAATTTTATACGTCTCAGATAAGTTGCTGACTTATAAAATGACAATATTTGTTGAAATTTTTTGAAACATCCAGCACACAAACATATCAACTTTCTCCTTTTATATTAGCTCAAAATAAACTTCCCACCCATTTAAACTATGTTTTTAAGAGTTGCTTACCAAGAGTTGTTTGTTTGCAAATGAAACTTTCATATCGTACCACTTCTATGTAACGCGCCAACGTCATGCATAGGATGCGTTCGAACTAGATCGGTGCTCAATAAATAACAACACAAAACATGGCGTTTCTACCATTTGAGCTAACTCGAAGACCAGATCCATTCTATAATCATCATAATTTACATTGTTTCATCATTTTTTTGTCTACAGAAAATTGTTCTTTCATTTGCTTGCTGGCACAAACAATCATTCAGTTAAGCTGCTTCATTCCTAGTCAAGTCTTGCGTGCGTATCTAAGCTGCAAGTCATCCACGTCAAGTGGTAATGTGCAGTGTATAAGTTTTGTAAGTTTCAAATGTTAAGTCATTTTCAAGGTAGAAACCATTAGTTGTGTGAATATGTTCGTGTATGTGCCGGCACGTTGGCGATTAACATGTTTAAAAATAATTAATGAATATCATTTTTTAATTAAGCTTACATCAAGATATCGTAATGTAATAAAATAAGTGTTTCATTTTCATTTATTCATTTTCATATGTACTTCTTCGTCAGCAGTTTTCGAAATACATACATACATACACACATACATACATACATACAAACAAACAAACAAACATACATACACACATACAAACAAACGCACATACAAACAAACATACATACATAAATACATACATACATACATACAAACATACATTCATACATACGCACACATCCAGGTTTCGGGTTTATAACGTTTGAATCAGAGGAATGCGTTGATAAGGTAGTCCAGGACCATTTCATACAGATCAACGGCAAGCAGGTAAGAAAGACTTCTGTACTGTTAATTACTCTGTGTTATGTTCATTCTGTATCATGTTCCAGTTTATTCTGTTTCGTTTCGTTTCGTTATAAGTTTTTTTATAAAATAATTATTGTCTGTTTTCATACTCGCTGGACTCTACAATGCTTCCGGATTATTAACATCAACTGGAATTGAACCCGGGACTTTCGGTGTGGCTTAACGACTTTTTGTCGCCATAGTAATAACATGGATTTAAATAACAAAGTTTTTTAATGAGAATGATAGTTGTTATTATTCTTCCTGAAACATCACCACTAGGTTGAAGTAAAGAAAGCCGAGCCGCGCGATATGAAGTTACTGGCAGAATCCTTTACGACGTTCACTCCCACCTACTCCCCTACCTTCAACTCCTGCCCGATCTTCATCACACCCACCGTATCCGGGCACTTCAACATCTTGCACATGCCCGCCCAGCCAATCATCGCGTCACCATCTGCAAACGCCATCAGCCTCATATCACCTCTGGGTCTGGGCCCTCCCCCCGATGGCCTGTTCCCTCAACCCACCAATGGCAGCTCCCCTCTTTCTGCTGCAGCGACTGCATGGTGCCCTGCCGGACCAGCTGGTTTGTTGTTTTATGATTGAATTGTTAACGGATGTGTTGATCGATTGATTGGTTGGTTTTTGATTGCTTGATTTGTCGTTTAGCTGATAGGTCCGTTTTGATTTGATTTGCGTCAGTCATGTTCTGCAAAAGATCCACGTCCATCATATGCTTCCTGTGTGATGCGTCCTTTAGCATGTATTGATATGCTATGTTTGGGCGTGTGGTTGAATCCTCTGAACTTTAAAAGAGTGTAATTGACCTTTTTGAACCTTTAACCTGCTAGTACATACATATAACTAATTAGGTCTTATTGTAGTATTTTTTATTAGTGACAGTTGTATTTTATCTTCGTGCGCCTTTAAAGTGATGTCTGTGCATGCATACATACATACATACATACATACATACATACATACATACATACATACATACATACATACATACATACATACATACATACATACATACATACATACATACATACATACATACATACCCAGTTATTTATTATGGACTGTTAATGTGCAATCGTTGTAAACCATACGTATATGGCGTTAGCTGACCACCGATTCAACACAGGTCTGCATCTAATGAATCCAAGCTCACCCCTGGTTCTTATTGGTTGGTTTTAACAAAATTAATTACATTACAGAGAGTTGTTATTACTATGAAATTTGTTGATAGACCACCTTGTTATTTCGTTGTACCATTATACACGTTCAGCATCAGACGGAGGTGGAGCTGGACTCGCCATGACTCCCTCTCCCAGCACAGGCATGGCGTATCATGTTTGGTCTCAGCAGCCAATGCCTGATCACATCACGTACATTACTCCGCCACTTGCCAACAACAGCAACAGCAACAACAACAACACCTTCATCACAACTGCAACCAACAACAGCATCAACATTAACAACATCCAGAATGGTGAGAGCCGGGAAAGTTGGTGCAGTTTTGTTTTGTATCATCTGTTTCTCTGTCTGTCTGTCTGTTCGTTTGTCTCTTTGTTTGGCTGCTGGATGGGTGTTTGACTGTTTGAGAAAGTTTCTTATATTTGTTCGATGTTCGTTTGTATGTTTTCATTTGCTCGTTTGGTTGATTGATGATCATCCATCCATCCATCCATCCATCCATCCATCCGCCAATCAATCTCGAAACATTCGTCGAAACAAAATGAAAAAAAACCTTACCGACGCCAGGATTTGCAGCACAGCCATCTACAATTATTACGGACGGTTGCCACGCTGATGTGCCCCTGGTCGCTACTATGTTCCATTTTGCTGATGGTTCGTCATAATTATTATTATTATTATTATTTTGAAAAGTTTGTAGTAGTGCGGCGTGTAACGAGAAAATTTTCATAAAACACCCACCTAACTCAGTTTCAAACAACGGAGCCTCGCTAAACATCAACAACACGAACAACAACAGCAACACGAACGAAAGTGGCTCCTCGAGTAGCATCAACAGCAGCAGCAGCAGCAACAACAACAACAACATCATCCACGTTCATCAACAACAACTACATCATCAACAACAGCAACAACAGCAGCAGCATGTATTAACAAACGGTATAAACTTCACACCACACCACCCGGCCCTCTTTACCGTTCAGCCCTCCTCTGTTAGAGGGCACTCATCCGCCACCGCACCTGCCGGGTTCCACCCTTATCGTAGATGATCTTATTACGTTGTAATCCGTCTCTACATACAAACACACACACACACACACATTGATATATATATTATTATTATATGTGTACGTATATATATTATATGTATTGTTTATACATATTATATAAACACATATATGAATATGCAGTATGCATATTTGTTTGCGTAACTGTTTACTTAATGGGTTACAGATACATTTAGATTTTTGTTTACAGGATTGTTTATATAATTTTTGTGTTCCTCCAGTTGAAATTATTATTGGAAATATGTAAATTTACGTTTATACATCTGATTTTATATGAAAATGTATCTCTTTGATATCTTGATATATCTGTTTGATATCTTGATATATATCTCTTTGTATGTCCATTTATATGTATCTTTTGACATGTTTATTTTTTTTCTCACAAATATGTCATATATTCATGATGCATATTTGTTTCCACTGATGTTCATAATCTGCGATGTACGTACAATTCACAATTATCAACTATGAATTATTTTTTTAAAAAAATATAGTTGTAGCCATCTGTTTGTCAGTTTGTTCATTAACTTCCGTTTCATTCCATTTTTCATTTCATTCCTTTTTTTGTCTCTCTCTCTCTCTCTCTCTCTCTCTCTCTCTCTCTCTCTCTCTCTATCTCTCTCTCTCTCTGTCTCTCTCTCTCTCTTCCATTTTTTTCTTTAAAGTATTTATTTATGCTTCACCTTTTTACGTGTTATTTTGTATCCATTTCACATAAATTAGGGTAATTATAACAGTATTTTTGACATTATGTAACCCCCATGCATATATATATTTATTTTGTTGCTTCATTCTTATTTTATTTCCATTTCAATTCCTCCTTTGTGCTTCTCACTCATTCTCATATGGTGAACAGGTATATGATATCTATTCATTTACACATACATACAAACAAACACACATACATACAAACACACACACATACATACATACACACATACATACAAACACACTTACATACACACATACATACAAACACACATACATATTCTAATAATATTACACACAGTATTGTTAACAAAATGTGTAGTATTATTTTTTATTTTACAATTTTTTTCGACAATTTCTTTTTTATTTTTCTTTTACTAAAAATTCATATTTTAAACGATAAAGCCGGTATTATTGATTTATTAATTACTATCAGTATATACTTTTTGTCCTGACCTATTCATTTTTTCTTTTTATTTCTCTCTCTCTCTCTTTTTTTCTCTTTCTCTCTCTCACTTTTTTCCTCTCTCTCTCTCTCTCTATATATATATATAATATATATATATATATATATATATATATATATATAGCGTTGGAGTTCGAGGTTGAAGGAGTGGTAGGAAGGGGTCGTCCGCGATTGGGATGGAGAGAGCAGGTGGAGAAGGACAGGGTGAAAGCGGGGTTGCGTGATACTGAGGCGAGTGACACATGTGGATGGCGTCGAGGGATATTTCGAGGGGTATATTCGGTTTCATCATAGGTAGCCAAACGGCAACCCCCGATCTCGGGAAAATGTCTAAACGTGTGTTGNTGTTGTTGTATACATATATATATATATATAT